ACAGTCCCGGGGGCTGCATAAGGTGCTGGTCATTGACTGAAGGCAGCTCACTATGTGGGCGGTCCCTCCCCCAGGGTTTTCCTGCTGCACAGGTGGCCCAGCACACCTTCCCCTGCTTACCTCCCCCACGCACATAGCACAGGTAGTAAAGTTGCACTGATACACTGGTCTGATATCGGATCCGCACCAATATAAAGAAAATTGAGTGTATTAGAAATTGGTCTGATGTGGCTGATAAATGCTCGTGCATGCGTGCAGCCACAGCGCAGCATGCAGGCGGTGAAGAGCATAGCCCAGCTTGGAGAGCTGTGTCCAGCTGGTAAATCTGTTGTGGTGGAAGGGGAGGGGGGAAGGAAGGGGCATGGGGGAAGCAGATCAATGCCCCCCATGCTGAGGGAGGGAGTGGGGCTGGGGCAGGCGCTTCCCAACTGGGGTGGGGCAAAAGACAGTGGTGCAGCTTGTCTGGGGGGCGTGGAGTGTGGGGGGCAGCTTCTGCTGCTGCATGCACCCCAGAAGGGCATGGGGGTGGAAGGCATGTGCCCCCAGATCTGCAAGAGGCATGGGTGGGGTGGGCTGGGACCAGGGCTGTACTGGACTCTTCCCAGTGTGTGGGCGGGGGGAGGCTGGGGTTGGACTGGGGCTGCACTCTGGATAGGTGGTGGCAGTGCTGGGAGGAGGGGCTATGGAGAGGCTATGGCAAAAATTGGTGTGGCTCCAGCTGCCACCCCCCCACACTGTCTCCCTTCCAGTGCCATCACCGCCTGCACCTTGCGCGGCCCAGCTCAGCCCCTGCCAGGAAGAGCTCAGAACAGCCCCAGCTCCGGCCCGCAGCTGCAGCCCGCCCTGCCCCACGCAGATCTGGGGGCACATGCCCCTCACACCCTCCCGGAGTGCAACGCAGAGTTCGGAGCTGCCTTCCTCCCCCCCCCCCCACACACCTGGACGAGCCACGGATCCACCCTGCCCCTACTGGGCAGCACTTGCCCCAGCCCCACTCCATCCCTCACTGTGGGGGGGGGGGGGTTGATATGCCCTGCCACGTCCCTTCCCTCCCACATCCCCTTCCACCACAACAGACTTACCAACTGGAAGCAGCTGTATTGGAAATCAGATCGGTATCAGCTGATATGCCTCCTTAGAAATCGGCTATTGATATCAACCCCCCCAAATCTCTATCACTGCACCCCTGACAGGCAGTTTGGCTCCTTCCCACCACCTCCTGGCCATGCATGCTGAGCAAGCAGTCCCTTCCCCCCTGACTTGCAACACAGGCAGCCTGGCACCTCCCAGGACATGCAGCACACTTTTTCCACAGCCATGTGCCCACTTGAGGTGTGGGCAGCCAGGCTCCTGCCTTTCTCAGCTGTGGTCCCCTACTACACATGCAGCTCAGGCACTCTAGGTCTCCGCTTGCTACACAACCCTACCCCCAGGAGCAGGAGCAGGAGCAGGAGCAGGAGCAGGAGCAGGAGCAGGAGAGCCTGAAGAACCAGCTGCAGCTGAAGGAGCAATTGCAGGAAAGGGGAGCTGTGGCAGCTGTGGGCCACATGCTAACCCTTCAGGGGCCACAGGCAGCCCACACATAGAACATTGGTTGAATGGCCCTGGTTTACTGAAGGTAAGCACTAAATGGTTACAATTAGTCACAGATTATTTTAAACAGCTCTACTTCAACCCAAATGCTGCAGTTCTGTACGACTGAACCTCTGTCTGGGTTCAAAGTCAGTGAAAATATTCTGTGTTATCAAGAGTAGGGGGAAAATAAGCTAGATTGGGGTGTCCAACCCGCAGCATGTGTGCTGCAAGTAGCACCGGCAGTCTCTGTGTGTGGCATGTGGCAGATCAGGGAGGGGACAAGCAACAGAGTAGCAGATAAAGCAGGGAACATACAGCACATCAGTAAATTGAACAGGGAGCAGAAAACTATAGTGGATCAGGCAGGGGAAGGGGATTGATGAGGGTGCATGGCTGATTTGGGGTATGCCAGCAAAAATGACTGGCCCCCACTGAGCTAGATCAACATGCTGTGGTGCCTTGCTGCAGTCTCAGAATGAAAGGAAACAGGCTTTGCCTCAAATTCTCTCAATTCAAGGTTAACACAAAGTAATTTCTCCTCATGTCATAATTTGGATTTGATATCTGCTATATTAATTTGGTTATTTGAATCTACTGATCTGATTCAGGCTTAGTTATGACTTCAATTTGATCATTACTGAACTAATTAATGATGAAACACTACAATGTGCTTAAGTGTGTATATGCTTGGCTCATGCTTTGAAATATAATCCAGAAAAATTACAAAAGATTCCGAGTTTATTCTACCTAACTGCAGCATGGATCACAAACTCTGAGGCTGCAGGTAGCCCCAGGTAAGAAATCAGAAAGATACTTGGCTTTGTTTTTAAATTGATACCCAAATCTCTCTCCTCCCATCGGCTCACCAGCTTTTCCAATATATGAGAAAGGATACTACTATAAATTTTTATCAGCCACATTAAGCAAGCCACAGTCGTCACTAAGGTGAGGTGCTCCAGGCTGGATCTAGACCACACACTTTCTAACAGGCTGGATTCACAGGACAAGCAGCAGCAGCTGTGGTGGGGCCAGCAGTGGAGATGGAGGCACTGGCAACAGCATGGCAAACAGCCACTTGCCATGGAAAAGTTGACACAAGTGGCAGTGGTGGCCAGGCTAGCAGCTGCAGGCCAAGGAACTGCAGTCAACGGGGCTGTTTGCTCCCCTTCAGTCAAGGGCCATGTGCAATGGGGTCTTGGATTCTGCAGCAGGTGCTACCCCCAGCTAGCCACGCTGCAAATTTCCTGGCCCTCCAGCAGCCCAACAGACTGGATGGAGTGGCTCTATAGGTTGGACCTGGTTCGCAGACGTATGTTTGACGCCCCTAATCTAGGTAAGCAGCTTGAATCAAGACGGAGCTGTGCATCCTAGGATCTACCGTCACTATAGCTTATGATTATGAAGATTAATTGTGGCTACTGGGCAAGCTTTCATCAACCTTGCACCAAAGGATGCATATTTTCGGTTGGAAATGGTGATAGAGTTACCTAGACTCTAGAGCACCGTCAACCACACAAACAAAACAAAACACTGTCCCACTCCAACAACCTTGCAAATTTGTTATATAATTTTAGCAGCCCATGCTCAACCACTAAAAATGCCAAATCTATAAGTAAGCCTTCCAGACATGTGACAAGAGAAAAAGAAAAGCACTCCATCCCCACTCCTACAAAACACAAAGAAAATGCAACCCAGGAGACTGGATTTTTGCATGAATGCCTTAAATATTTTACATATAGGTAGGACTTGCTCAGAAATGCACAAGGTTGTATGAGATGCAACACTTTTAAAATGGAGACTACTATATAAACTGTTGTTGTGTAAAGAAATTCAAGTTATAGTTCATGTTGTGTTAATTGGTTTTAAGCTGTGTACAAGTTGCCATACTCCAGAAAAATTAATGTAAATCAGAAACCATCTTCTGGTAGCTGGGTAGGCTACAATGTCATTTTGGTAGTCTTTCTGATAAAACGTAATTTTGAAACCATGCCTTACATTCAGAAACTGGGTAGGGGTGGGGCTACAATTTGTGATTTTAAAATGCTGAGAACAAGTAAATTCCTTTAAAGTATCTTCCTTTAACAGAAACATTATCTATGGTAAGATTAAGATATGATCTTTTTCATATACTTGATTTCCTGATATTGCTTATTGTTTAGTACATTACATTTTTCTGTTGTGTGTACTGAAGCCTGTAACTGTTTTCAGGTTTCAGGACTTGTATTTAGTTGCCCATGGCCTTTCAGGTGAATCCAAGGCACTATTTCAGGCTGTTAAAGGCTTAGAAATCTTTTCTGATACCATAATACTATGTGGGACTAATTAAGTCGAATTAAGACAGAGCTGGCAAAAAATACTGAACTTAAAGCAACTGAATGTTCTTGTAATCTATGGCAAGATTTAAATTCAGAAAAACCCGCCCAGAATTTTGGATGTGCATTTTTAGTATTGAGGCTTTTAAAATAAAAAATAAATCTACTCAAGTGCTGAACTAAACACAATTAAACCAGTGGATTCACAATTAACGAAGGCAGAATTACTTCCTCTCTCCACCATCTAACACCAAAATAAAATACCGAAACTAGGTTCTTGTTTCATTATTATGTT